ATCGAATGGTAAATTTATTCCCTTTGCATCACGGGCTTGTATAACATTATATACATATTATGTGAAAATCAATTTTATTTTCAATCAGCAGCTATTTATTGAATTCGCCCTGCATCATCGTAATAATGTCCCGACTGATGTGAATTTTCACAATATTTCCGTGTGGGTGTACATTTTTCCGGAGGGGAAAAGCCATTTCAGCAGCTCCAACTTGCTGTCAAAATTTTAAAAATCCCTCCCTGCTGCGGAGTTTTGTGGAGAGTACCTTACACGGCAACATCATTTTGGACCGTCCCGATGCTGACGCGGAAATTCAATTTACACACTCAAGGTTTAATTACTCGCGCACAAGCTGCACTTTGTTTTCTTTCTTTTTTTTATAAATAGAAAGGGATAACGGAGAAAGGGGGGAATGATTAAAATATTTGCTCCCATTTTTTTCTCTTCTATAGCAAAAATTAAACGTTAAAAACAAATCAAGGATATGTATAGGAGAGAGTTGTAATTAGTAATTAAAAATACCAAACTCTACAATACTAATTAATGCCAATTGATAAAGTGGTGAATGAATAAGTGTGTGTAAAAAGTAACAAAAGCTACGAGGGATATGTACTTATATTGTGCGCGAAAGTATTAAGTGGTGGCGGCAGCACTCGATGCAGTGGGAAGGTATATACTCATATACGTGCAAGTGACACTGAGATGTAGTTATATTCACGCAAAACGGCAAAACGTGCGCATTCATGAACGAACAATCGTTTGTGGGCGTATATATCAAAATGGTGTCAATACCACGAGCCCAGTATAACGAGCTTTCACATATGACTTTTCAGCCTTAAAGCGTAAAATCGCACACCCAATGTGCCTATAATTTTACTTTTTTCCCCCGTCAAGGGATGGGCTGATGATAAACAGGAACAACACACACTCCCCAATATAAATGCTTTTCTCTCTTGTGAAGAAAAAAAAAAAAAAAAAAAAATGTATTCAATTAATGTACAAAAAGCTATACGTTACACGGTTCTAACACTTTTAAAAACGTCGCAGTTAATCTCGATAGTTTATTTATGAAAAAGTGACGGGTGTCCATAATATAATATACATGTATGTATATGCATAGACACTGCGATCTATAGGTAAGTGATAATATTATACGGAGCTTTGACTGCACCAGAAAATTTTTCCCGAGTCGTCGACGGCTCGAGTGGTCTAGGCCGATTTCGCGCTCGACTGAATTTTGTCGCTCTTTTTCTCGAGAGAGGCGACACTTCCTCGTCCCGAGGTGATATACAGCTATACCCATCTACACTTTGTTACATGTGTATATAGAGCGCCGAGCACGTGTGTGTGGGCGTGTGCACGAGTTTAATAGTGCACATCCGAGTCGGCTCCGTTTGACCGAGTGGCGTGTATATTTATATTTACAGGGCCCCATTGCATCGTGCATCTATTAGGTATACGAGAGAGAAGAAAGAAAGTCTCCAAACACTTTCGTTAATAATGTAGTCCATGTACTTTACCTATACTATACGCTTAACTCTCTCGATCGTCTGCACTCGAAAGCACATGTGATGAAGTTACTTACTTTGGCTGCCTGTAATTTTATGCTACACGGGGGAGCACTGCGGTTTTTTTCATCTTTTTCTTCTTCCGTTTCTGAGTAACTGCACACCCCCGTGTATTTTCTACAAAACATTTGGTACGGGGATTGTAACATGATTATTACGTGCACCGGCATGTTATTTAAGATTCATATGGAGCAACCACATGTTGTGTGTTCTGTACGGGGAAGGGGAAAAAAAAAAAAAAAAAAAAAATACAGGTACATAGGTACATTACGTAGTTGGGTACATTAGTATGAAAGCGTGACGACGATATGCAAGCTCGAAAGCGTCGATCGAAGCAAAATCGAGAAAACACAATGGGCAAAAGATATAAATGTGCACAACGCCACCCCCTATATTATAAATACGCGCGCTCCAAGGAAAAACGGGGACATTTCTGCGAGCTTAGCAAATGGTAATTTAATTCCTGGGGTGTCGATTTTTTTTTTTTTTTTTTTTTATACACCCCTCGCCGTCTAAGCTTCTCTCGTACACATCGGCGTGCACTATAGGAACGGTACAAAAACAAGGGACGATGGAATTGGAAAATATGAATTCTGGTTTACGGCGGAAGATCAATGGGGGGCGAGAGTAAAGAGAATGGATAACAGATCTGGTGGTGGTGTGGATGTGGGCGACAGGGAAAAGCTCATACTCAATGGGCCGGATTTGCGAGGGTGGGAGTCGAAAGGGATGAACAAGGAAAAAAAAAACAAGGTGCCGCGCGAAGAGACTCCGATAAGGAAAATTTATTGTAACAGCGGATTGAGACGAGGCACGAGTATTCCGAAGGACCAAAATTACTTTTTCTTTGCCGTTGTGTATGCACGACTATTCACCCAAAGGGACCTTTTCTTTTGTTTTACAAGATATATATATGTACGTATAGTATTACCACACGAATCGAACGATTTAAAATCCGGAAAATCAGTCATATCATCTGTTGCACGTTAATAATTATCTATTCGATTCAACATTGAACAACACGTAAATACACGTGTGTGTGTATACATTATTTTCTGCAGACGAGTAAATCGCCGCAAGTTAACAAGTACGTACTCTTTGATCCGATAATCGCCACCTCGGCGAAACCACCGGCGCTCATTATTTTATTTTATTTTTTTCCCTCCAGCGAGTGTGTGCGTACGAGGCATTACTCACACCTAGATTCCGTTTAACGATCGCTCCTACACGAGTGTGTTGAGAACACACAAAGTTGAATGTAATGATGGTTTATTCGAGGGTTCGTTAGAGCTGTAAAAATAACAATGTCACGCACGCGCTTCTACGATGTACTTGTATTTAAAAAATAATTCAAGTTAACCAGCTCATTGGTCCGGTTATTTTCGGGGAGGAGATCCAAGTGATGTATATACGCGAGGCCCAATGAGTTACAGCGAGCGATAATGGAGTCTCGATTCGTAAAAGTGAAATAGCCGAATGAAGAAGAAGAAGAAGAAGGAGAGGAAGAGGAGACGAGTTGAGATGAAAAAGGGAGATAAAATGCCGTGAAGGCGATTCGCATGCATATGAATGAGAGAGGAGCCCACGAGGAGTAGAGTATAAGAGAGGACTCGTTTATTTGCGCGAAATAATGGCCGCAAAAGTATTCGTACGTATGAGAAAAAGGAAAAGGAGTATAGGTACAGCTTTGGTGGCAGCCTCTTTTTTCTCGCACTCCTCTCGGGGTAACATGTGAACGATGTACCTCTGTTGAATCCATAAAGAGGGACTGTGGCAGGTAAACGAAGATTTGCAAGAGAAAAGTAGACTTTAGCCAACAGTAAAAATACATAAAAAAAAAAAAAGGCTTAGAAGGTAAAACGCCATAGAGTGTGGGATCGTAAATCGGGCTTACTTATATATATTTGCACTGAACGAGAGAGAGAGAGAGAAAGGCAAGGGATGCGTTTCAAAGGAGTCGTAAAATCATATATACACACACACACGTACCCCGTATATAACCTGTTTACGTGGGTGTGCAAGTATAAAAATATCGACGGAAGCTGTAAGTGTGGAGCGTAGGTGTTTGTACACGTGGAATGTGTAAAAATGGCGAGATAATTTTTTTTCTCCTTTCAAAACTACGCGGATTTTTGGCTGAAATCGACCCCTGATATCGGTGTTGCCAAGAAGTTAAAAAAAAAAAAAACTACGCGGATTTTTATCGAAAAAATCAAAGAAGCGTTTGGCTGATCGATGAAGGAGTATGCATTAACGATCATGCCTTTTAATTGCCATCTGAAGTTGTATTGGTACCGTATATTGCAGATTACTCTTAATCAGCTGAGCGAGTATAATTACAGCTAAAAACTTTTGCACTGTACTTGGCGTCTCTCAGAGATGAACCATTACACAAACAAAAATTTTTTATATCTATACTACTACTGAGTTCAACTTTGTTGATAAAGGATAAAAAAAAAAAAAAAAAAAAACAGCAAAAAGAAGAGAAGATAGGAAGGAAGGAAGGAAGAAAAAACGCAAGAAAAGTTTAGCGGTATATATTTTAAATAGCTCGTTGAGTGGCTTGCAATTAGCAATCGACAACTCTCGTAGTCTGCGGCTATCCGCGATTACCTAGATGTTATATACATCTGTGCATAAATAGGGTGTAGCTAAACTGTGCTCCGCGCGAGTATAAAAAGTATACGTATAGATATATGTACGTATAAAGATCGACAAGGGGGTCCGGAGGTGAAGCGGGTGGGTCGATACCGGCTGGTCCGCTAATGCGTTGCTGGTTTCTTAAGTCATGACTCGTGATTCGGCGATCGTCTTGATGATATTGTCTTGTTTATAATATCATGGTATCGTTGACCTTGGGTCACTTGTCATGTAAAATTGTGACTCTCGTTTACCATTTTAAATATGTCAACTCTCGGGAAAATTATTCTTCTTGGAAACATCGTTTCATCCTTACTGTTTTGACGGTGCGGTAAATATTTTGAGCTTTTAATAATTAAATGTCCTGCATGGGAGCTACAACACACAACGGTGACAGGAACACACACATGTATAATGTAGGAAAGCAAAGTGGTACTTACCAGAAAAAAAAAAGTGGCCTAAAGCCGGAATTCGAGATAAGTAAATATTGCTAAACAGCTAGATTACTATATGAATGTATAGCAGAACAGTGATCCTACGTGTGCTATTCGCTGTTTACGCACGTTAAATACCCTCACTACATAAATATATTTTTATACATACAACAACAATTAGCGTTGACCATCTCATAAGATCATGTACTCGTCAATAATAATACTCATCTTAGATATTGTGATAACGATAATCAAAATACAACTCGTCGAGGATTAATTAAGTATATACAAATGCGTCGATTGCATGTATTGTATGTTTGTAATGAAAAAAACAAATTGCTCCAAGCCATTCGCTTACCTGTCCGCTGTCGGCGGCTGGTGAATTCTCGACGATCTTGTAGATGACGTGGGGCAAATCGGCCCGACCGAGCAACGAGAACCCAAAACCCGTCACCTCGTCGCGGCTCAGCGTGACCAGCAGCTCCTCGGCAACGACACCCGACATCTCGTACGTTAATTGTATTAGTCCTCGTTCACGAATCTGCAGTCCCAGCCTCCTCTTCCCCCTTCTTTTTATCACTTATTTCTCACAAGTAGCTGGATGGTTCACGACGCACACAACAACACCGCGACCATCACCCCTTGGGCGCACGCTCATCTGCGAGCAGGTAAATAGTCTTCCGCGCCCGGGGGGGAAACGCCTTTCTTCCGTTACACTTATAATTGTGACCCGCGAACTGCCAGTGCACACTCGCGACGACCAAAGCGGAGGCTTTACCGCTGTTATCGTTCCCCCGTGCAGGTAGTAATCAGGAAGCCGCTGTCGCGGCACGGGCTACCTCTTTCTCTGCAACAGCCCGAGAAGAAGCCGGCTTCTTGCGCGAGAGCTACTCCGATACTATTAGGGCGAGCAGAAACAGCGCTGCACGGCGTCGGCGTCGAGGATGCCATAATTATAATTCCGAACTCTTGATGGCATGATACGCTGCAGAAGAGCAGCCCTCCCTCCCTACCAAGCGTATACCTATATAGGTATTTTTTTTAATGGTATATAATAGCCTCTGTCCAGATTATCTGCTTGAACTCACTTGGTGGGTTATTGTACAATTAAATAATAATATACACATGCACGTCATTAGTAGAAGAGACACACTGGATGGTTGCGTTTATGTATAGACCCTTGGATACTCTCTGCCAGGGAGAGACCTAGGACGGACGAATGGATGAGTTGAGAAAGAGGATGATGATAGCGGGCACCAGCGCTCGAACACCACACACATCAACTTTTGGAACAAGCTTCAGCGGCAGCCGGAGCCGAGCTGCAGGACGATAAAATGTATAGGTAACACACATGGACGCGCGGACGACGCGCACTCATTGATATATATGACACCGTATGTGTGTATAAAATAGAAGCACTTTATTGCTGTGCTGCTCCAGAGCCCTGTAGCACAGGATTTCAGGACTTGGACGCTTCACCAGTAGATGAGTATACATGCACCTCAAAGGGGGATGTTACCCTATCCCGGATGGTATCTTCTCGCATACACATGTTGTTGGTCTATGAACGGATACAAAATGTGTTTTTTTTTGTTTGTTAATTTTTATGCGGATTTATACTTGGATATATATTTTGCGGTGACAACGACTGAACGACAACGGAACCACCGCACGACGACTAGAGACTACAACTCTGCACGTCCTGCATGTACTTTGTTACTGACCGACGGCGGTTATGTATATGTGTGTTATCTTATCTTAGCTTGTTTTGTTGGTTGGACGTTGGACTCCGCGACTCCTCCTCTCATGAGCTCGGTACCTTAACTGTCTCGTTCTCACTCATGCAGAGAAACCGAGAATGCGTCTGCTTCTACTACTACTCTGTTTGCCATATACCGATATACCTGATACCATTACCCATTTCCAACTTCCAACCGCGCGCGAACTCCGAAGTCACTTTTAATACAGCGCCATCTAGCGTTGTTTCTATGTCTATCTAGGGGAAATTGCATTGAAAAAAACCCTAGATTTTAGTGTAGCTAACCTAGGCTGCTGCTATAGGCAATTAGGCATGATGTAAAAATATATATTCCCACCAGAAGGAAATCACTATACCCGTTGTAGAGGTGGTACTGTCGGTACTGATGCAGAAATTCGGGCCCTGACGTACCGACGGTTAACTCACTAACTCGTTGCAGGTTTCTTCTATACCCATTACTTATCGTCAGGACTTGGTAACGATGATTGGCAGAAACGTCTTATAAATTATATTGACAAATTGTTATATAATTAATTATCCTAATGTAGATTTGTGTGCACTTGCGCTCGCATCTTCCTAAAACATGCAGGATACAGGACCGGTGTAGGCTTGACGAAATAGAGAAATATAAGTAATCAGGCCCTTTTATTGTCCTACCCTACACACCCCCTCGCAATATATACATATATTTGTAAACACTGTTCCAATTCAGCAGTCAGCTCCTCTCTCATCAGCTGTTCACTTCTTCACTTGAGCAGTTCAGTCGGTAGTAAACATGGAGCCTGTCGCACACCTTATCAAAGTTTCCGTGCCAAATTATTTGTCTGACCTACCGATTCCCGACTCGATTGGAGGATGGTTTCGACTGGGAGGTAAAAAAATTTCATTGAACAACCCTTCCTCATCCCTAGTCGGTCATCAGCATCATCCCTTTCCAGTCGTGTTTCTGCTAATCAGAAAACTCCTCAAGATCACTGCTGCCGCAAATCCACACTAGGTTATATTTATTACACATCATTATAAACTGATCGTCAACATGATTCACAATAATAATCAATACGTGATTTAATTTTACAGTGAAGGACTGGCTCTCTCTGATACCACCCACAGCAGTTCTTGCTGGCATTGGTTACATGTCCTACGTAGCTTTCTGCCCAAAAGCTCGTAAATCGGTAAGTACACTACATACACACAACTATAAGTTCTTATACCTGTGCACCTAAAAATACACATGATGTATACACATCACAGTAGCCACCTGCTCCATTTTTTAAATCTACAAGTATATTTCTGAAACGTGTTGTAAATATACTTACCTACCCAATACAATGTATCATGTACCTATGTAGCATACAATTAACATGATTCAAAGCATATGTTTTGACGTATGCTTGTCAAATATTAATTTCTTTAGTTATGTTATTTAATGACATGAAAACTAATTAAAAGGAGATTGGCGATGAGAGACCATATGTCAAATATTCGCATGTATAAAATTTGCTGACCATTACTTTGTGGATACATGTGTTTTTTTTTTTTCCAGAACCAGGTGAATCGTACAATAAACAAAAATAATCCTAAAGTTGTTGATATGGTAGATGTTGAAGATATTACTGAAAAAACTGTGTTCTGCCGCTGTTGGAAAAGTCAAAACGTAAGCATAAGCCTTTTTTTCATGATGATGTCAAAGCATTGTTTTTTTTTTCAGATTAAGTCAATTTTCATTTAAGAAAAATATAAATAACATTTTATTATACATTTTTTTCAAATGCCAAATAATGTCGAGTGCAAAAATTTTTAAAAATGAGAATTCTTAATTTTACACATTTACTAATGATACGACCCACATTTTTCCTGAATGTATTATGCATTCCAAAGACGTTATGTAACATGCTGATATGAATTTCATATTTCTATAACCTCTTAATCAATTTAAAACTCAAGAGTACATTCTTCGCATATCTTTATTGTTTCTTGAATGTTGAAAAAAATATCAGGATCGATTAATAATTGAGTATGTAATTACAGTGGCCGTACTGTGATGGTGCTCATGGAAAACACAATCAATGTACTGGTGACAATGTGGGCCCGCTTGTTATTACTAAGAAATAAATAAATAAATGTACATGAAAATCCATTGAAGTCGTTACCTACATTTTATAGTCTATTGGAGTGACTGGAATAAGTTTAGGTTAAGAAAAAATATAATTGGATTGTACAACGTCCAACTTGATTGGATAATTTTTTTATTCTTTAATGCTTATTTAGCATTCGATGCAGTATTCATTATTAATCATTGAAAAACGTTGAATAAATAATTCTAAAAAATTGTATACGCAGTTTTTCAATTGTTATCGATACATTTGAAATAAGAAAAATAAAAGATAGTGTATTTACTCTTAAAACTATCAATAATTTAGAATAACTTGCCACTGTGGTGAACATGACGTATAAAATCACCAAGTTTCACTTAACAAAAATCTTATGTACTCAAAATGCACGAGTTCATCCCTGATGTGGTTGTTGGTGATAATCAAAGCAACATTACATTTTAACGTTAAACTTATGATTTAACTATTATCATAATAATACTTCAATTGTCGTTCATAAAGTATGGCTCATCCAAACGTTGCGAATGCAGTCACGCACACTTGTTATGTTGAATCTCACATTTCCGTCATAAGAATAATTTATGACGCCGTTAAATATTAAGCCGATTCGTCGCTTATACGTTTACTGTCAACAATGGCTTCTGATACAATATTATCTTGAAACGGTAATCAAAGTGGCCCCAGTATGACTTTTGGCGATATATCACAGAACACCGGCGTATCGGCGTTATTACAACTTTCGCTACTCCTAAAAACATCACGAGCCAACTCAAAGCTAAAACAAACAAAAAAAAAAGTCACAAATACTGCCTTTGTGTGTATTATAGGCTTAGAATAAGTAATTGCCGCTTTAATTGCGAATTGAAACAATGTAAAAGCATATGGATCGGTTTGTCGTTTGATCGACAAAACAAAACTCACCTCGAAGTGTCGGAGATCATTAGTATCGAATTCCAAGTTGTTGACCAACAACTGCCTGCTCCCATAGCGAACCCTGCAACAAAGAATGCACAAAGTTCCATTTATTTGGAATGGCCCAGTTAATGCCGCGATCGAAACCGAGCGATATCTGCATAAACAATAATAACTTAATCTTTTCTCTTGTGCAAACAGTCGTAAAATCGCGTGGCATCAATTGGCTCTAGATGGCCGAGTTAAGCAACAAAACAAAAAAAAAAGAGAGAGAGAGAACAGCACCCGCAAAGCAATCAATCGCTCGTTAAATCCGCAAGAGACAACGATTAAAAAATACTTTTGTCGCTTATCACCGTCAACGCGTGGGTGTGTAATATATTTTTATACAGATAAATGTATAAGACACACGAGAGAGGGAAAAACGATGATATCTGTATCCGAGGTGCGCGTAAATAAATATACATGGACGAGGTGTCGTCGGCGCTTACTCGAGATAACGTCTCCAGGCCAAGAGACCCACGTAGACAATAACGACGACTATGGCAAAAGCAATGGCCATGCTGATGGCCACCAATCTGGACGGCATGTCCCCGAGTCCATGTGGTACGGCCAACTGTTCCTTCCACGCGGCACCGATCGGCTCGTTGTTTTCCGTGCCATTGGTGACGTTCCCCGCCGACGGCTCCAAGCTCATCGTCACGTTGATGATTCCCTCGACTGTCGCGCTAGCCACTACAAACGAATTCTCATGTATCACCCTTACGACCGCGCATACCTTCCGCGGAGTTTTACCTGTGGTTTCGGTCACGGATTTCATTTCCTTTTCCTCGGATTCGGTGCTGTTGGACTTGACCGTCGTTGTTGCCGACTTTGGCCCTTCCGTCGAGACGACAGCTGTGGGTGAGCTTTTGTCCTCGCCGCGGGCGGTGTCGTTGACGCTCTTGTCGACGGCCGCTTCGAGTTCAACGAAAACGCGTTATTGCTGATTATTTAAATATATAGAGCTGTGATAGTGACAATCGCGAGAAATTAACGACACGGGCGGTATTTTAGTATGAAAAACGGTATAGTGACATTCCAAGAGGAAGGTATCGGGTGTATAGCTGTGCACTTTTTTTTTTTTTTTAATAACGAACACACACACACATAGGTATTGTGTACATAAACGGGGGATAGGTGATTCGCGCTTGCGTGTTAGTATATATATGTACTCGTTAAAACGCCAACAGAAATAAAAGGTTTTTCACAAAAATCGAAGAGTCGCAAAAAAGATTAAAATCGATCGCGGAAATCAGCAGGGAAAAATTTACAACGAACCAGGATTGTCCGTTGCCTCGTCGCTCTTGCCGGTGACGGCGGGCCGGTCCGTGACGTCGGCGGCACTTGGGTCAGTTTCCGTCTTCGGTATTGTCGGGGTCATGGTTGCGCCAGTCCCGAGTCCCGATAACGGCTGCAGCGTCGACGCCACCGCCACGACGACGGTGCCATTTTTGCTGTCGGACGACGTTAATCCACTTACCAGCAGGTTCGCTGAGAACGACAATTTCATCATGTGTACAAACTACATGCATTTCAAACTTTAAGAGGAAACTTTTCGTTTTGAATAATAATAATAATGTACTTTTAACGTAAAACTCACCGAAAATCAATACGATTAACGAGCAGCGCTTTAACGACGTCCCGAGCATCATGTCGATGAAGTTCCTTTTTTTTTTTTTTTTCGCGGGAGCACACACCTCCGCGGTCGAGTAGACCTTCTCTCGCTGTCGAGCGCGCACTGTCACTGCGATATGTATGTTACACCGTTGCGGTCGGCCTTGCCGATGTATCAGATGACGACGCCGCGTCGAGCCGTCATTGTCGAGTGCGTGTCGTTATCTTCGGCTCGTCGTGAGCGCCTGAAAGCCGAGAGATAAGAAATGCAAGTGCTCGGGGCGCGTCCTTATTCACTCATCGGGGTATATTGGGCACTGCACTTGTTGCTATGATTGGCAAAATGGCACTTTTTGGAAAACCAAAAAGGTGCAATTGCCAAAAAAAAAAAAAAAAATAAATAATAATCCACGTGATAATAACGAGCAAACGGGGGAAAGGAGGAGTAGGAGAGGAAAGAATAACGTACGCTAAACTATACACTGCGGTTGAGTGACGCGCGAGCCTCAATTCGCGCCCAGTCGATATATTTACACGCGCATATACTTACAAAGGAGTGAAATTTAATTTGCCTGGCCCTGCGCCTCCCACTTTTTCTTTTTTTTTTTTTCTTCTCCCCAGCACAGGTGTATGCAAGCTATAATCGGATTCGCGCCACCCGCTCGACCTTATGCCGATACGTGCACATATATTAGCCCTTGCTGAAAACGAGGAGCTGGTGGTATTTTTTTTCTTCTTTTAGATAAGAGAATGAATTGGCGCAACGTTTTCTCGCTCCCATGTGCCTACTCTGACATAAGGCAAATAGGGACACGCGTGTGTACACACGCCCGAGACGTCGGTCTTTAGTGTTTTTTTACTGCACGGCCAAACATATACGTACTCGCTCACGTGAGTTTGTGTACTGCCTCTATACGCGGTACATATACATGTGTGTATAGATACACTATGGCGTTTTGCGTTAATAAATAATGCATTTATTGATGTATACGTATGCTCGTCGTTTACCTTGTGCATTGAAGAAAGCGTCGGTCTTGGATGACGAGAGTCTCGATCGGCAGTTTATTTAATTTACCATTAAAGGCGCGACTTTCGATCGATGCGTTGGATACATTCACCGACGTTGCCGAGAGATGTATACTTTGCGTGCGATCGATTTCATCTAGTGTCCGGTGGGTAAAACTAATAATTTTCCGAGGTACTCGAACCGATGGGCACCGATAGCTTGAATATTTCCACTACCGATTTCCATACCGATCTCAATTCTTTGTCGTGTAAATGACGCGCTGTCGTGTTACGCGTACGTGACTTTTCATCCCCGAGGGTCAAAAAGACATTCGGTAAGAATGTATTAGGTATACGCGGAAACGCGTCTGTCCCAGTCCGGTCACGAGGTAACGTATGATTATTGCATATACAAGTCCCAAGCGTGCGATTGACGCGTGACGGGACGTTTTTCTCATACACCCCATTTATGTCTTTTTCCGCACTTTTGTGTAATTCTTGCGTATCCTCTTTGCAGAGAACTACAATAAAGGCATATGATTGACGCTCACCTCGTTCATTGTACACGGCCGTGTAGGCTGGGTGTTACACATACGTAAATGACAAAAATCTACGTCTACATGTGTATTGCGTGACAAACGTACGCCGATGATTTGTGAAACGAAGTTTAATAACTCGAGGTTTCTTGTAGATTCTTGTTTGCTGTTTGTCGCTCGTTTTTACAAAAAAAAAAAAAAATAATAAAAAAAATAAATAAATCATAGAAGCACGTACAATAAATAGTAAAACTTTCATGTGTTAATGGACTCGGTCGTTTCTCTTCTTTGTTAACATACTGCTGATTACACTCTTCGAACTATTAAATTGTTATCGAGGCGCATTTTTAGCTTAACACTTTTCCGATTTCGAGGCACCGGAGGCGGGGGGGATTTCCTGGAATTCTTTGTATATATTGTTATATTCACTGACGAGCACGTGTGTCTTCACCCCCGCAAAGTTCAATAATCCATAGCCTAGTGAACTCATAGTTGTTAAAAATAGTAATTTTTGAAACTCACGCGTGAAACTCGAAATTGTAGGATATCGTCGATTCGTGCACGAAGAGATGCGAGTATACCTACATAAAATAAACTGAGCGACAAATAACAGTAGAGTTGGGCACAAAAACTGCGCCAGCGGTAGTATCCGGCGGAAACTGAAACCGGGCGATAGCACGAGGTGGTTCACACGTGGCGCTCTGAAAATATATCATGTTTGCACAATTAAGGCGTAAATTTACTTAGCTACGTCTTTAATTTGTTTCAATCCATTTTCCACATTTTTCCGCTTTTGTGTCGTAACATTTTTTTTTTTTTTTTTTTTTTTGCACTACAGGAAAAGGAACACATAGGGTTTAGGTGAACCAACGAAACAACAATGCTGACATTGGTTGATAGTCAATTAAAACTGCTTGTATATATAATATGTATTAAAATCAACAAAAATATTATAATGTTATCAGAAAATTACAAAAGTATAATGATCTCTCAGCAAAGCCATGTTAATGCCGCTTCAATCTACGAGGTTTTTCTCTATTTTATATAAATGTATACTTTGAATCTTGTAGCTCCTGTCGGTGAAAAAATATAAGCAGATTTTTCTCAGAAAATCTTCTCAGATTCATCAGCAATTGCTTTCGTAAATACTATTTGTGCTAATTACAGAACACTCTCGAAGGTAAAATAATCGATGATTTTAATATTTACAATTCATTCGTAATTTACAAGTACAGCCAATCTCTAATAAAACACCTTCATATGATGAAAACAAGTTCAAGCACGCCATACAAATTTATCACACGCACCTATTTGTTTAAAAGTTAATTAGTATGCTTCTACACTCAGTTGACGTATTTTCGTATCGAGCTTGCAATGATTGGTTAATTGTACACGAGAAAAAATAAAATGAAACCAAACGGTTTGCTATGCGTAGGAATGCATTTTTGTTTTTAATTTTCTAACATCAAGTACAATGATTCAATCGCAATCGTTTGACTAGCTTGGAAGCCTAAATAATCCAACTTGGCTTTCCATTATGTGTGCATGTATGGATCATTTCACGGAAACATACTATTTGATTGTTTTATCTCATGTAAAATGTTATTTGCGTTGTTGTTTATTGCTATTGGAGTGGTCAACTCTTGGGTGCTTCAATGATAAACCGTTTCATAGTATGAAAATGTTAAAATAATTTTTTTTTTCCATGGGAATGAAGTTGGGCCCAAAAGCCAAAAGTAATCATCAGCTTCTTTGTGCCCCACATTACGTGGGGTAAAATTGTATAAATTTTATAAAAAAAAAAAAAAAAAAAAAAAAAAAAAAAAAAAAAAAAAAAAAAAAAAAAAAAAAAAA